CCCCCACGTCCTGTGGCCATGGTGGCCAGCAATGGAGGCTGCCATCTTGCTCCCCCCATGCCTCCATCACCACAGCGACCAGCAATGGAGGCCGCCATCTTGCTCCCTCATGCCCTGTGGCCATGGCAACCAGTAATGGATGCTGACATCTTGCTCCCCCACGCCCTGCGGCCATGGTGACCAGCAATGGAGGCCACCATCTTGCTCCCCACACCCCATCGCCATGGCGATGGCAGGCCCTGGGCCCCTTCAGGCCTCAGTGAGGCATCAGCTTGCAAATGAGGTGAGTGTGACTGATACTGGCAGCCCCTCCAGCCCCCAAAGTGGGTGCACTGGTTGAATAATTCCTGTACACATGTACTCCTCTGCACAGAGAGAAGTCTCCTGAGATGAAGCTGAGAGCATCACCTGTTCAAAAAAACCCCCCCAAAGCCATGCAGCAGAATGAACAAGTTTATTGTGTCACACAGAAGCATAAATTGTAAAAAGGGATTAATTTAAAGCCTGAAATGCTGCATGTGGCTGCAGTGTCACTTAGTGGCGGAGGCACAGTGCAGATGTGTTTGCTGGCAGTCAGGTGTTCATGCAAACACCTTTACTAGAAATGGTAAAAAGAGACTCACTGAAGCCATAAAATGCTGCACATAACAGTGGTGTCACAGAGCAGGTGAGGGCAGCCCAGGTGTGTTCAGTGGCAGAGAGGAGCTCACCAAACACCTGGGCAGCAGCTCTGGCAAAGCTGAGTGAGGCTCTCAGTGCTCGTGGTCACGCACGTGGTAGCCAAGGTGGCTCCCAAAAGGGAACTGGGCAAAGAAGGCTCTGGCCATGTCATTGATCCTGTTGTAGGCTCCCAAGGTCCGGAAATATTCCACATAGGACCAGAAATCATTGGATGAGAAGGGCCAGTAGGGCAAGGCTGCAGCATCCTGGTAGGGATCTAAAGAACCCAACCAAAACAAAATATTGCATATTACTATAATACGAAGCGCTTTTGTTGAGAGGTTGGGCTTGGAGCCACCATGGTTTGGGGTTGTGAGTTCCCTTTGGGGGCTGGTGTGCTCCTCTGGCAGCAGAGAGGCAAAGAGAGCCATTGACCTCTCTCTGTGACCCACTGTGCAGAAAATGGAGCTGGAATTCCCTGCTCCAGGTGCACCAGGAGTGACAGACTGGGACAAGATGGAGAGCAGGAAGGAAGGAACACATCCACATTTACACCAACTCAAGAATTCATTAGGCTGGTTTCATTTCTAGAAGGCTGCTGGTTATTTCAAAGCAAGGAGAGATTGCAATCAAAAGCCATTACTCCTCGTTCCACATAATTTGCTTTGCCCCATAGAAAAATATAAGGAATAAGGCACCACCCTCTATGTTGTGCCCCAGCAGCTGAGCACACTGCACACAGAACTCCCAGGGATTGGGGCCATCCTGCCCTGACACTGCCTGGAACTGCAGAGCTGTGCCTCTCCTCAGGGCACTGTAGGAAATGAGCCACAGGGATGGAGAGGAAAGGCCACCTGGGGGACAGCTGCTGCATTTGGGCCTGCTCTAGCAGTACCAGAATGTGATACAGGCATTGAAACAAGATTAACAATTCAGCAGCAAAATAAAATCAGTTCTGAAAACACAAGAACCGACCACCCCAGGCCCAAATGTGGGCAAACAGAGAAGCATATATAAAATGTAAACAGCAGCTGAGAGCACAGTCACAAATGTCTTTCAGTGCAGTGAAGCTAAACACAGTATTTTATTTTGATTTGAAGCCCATTTAGATGAATGAAAGTTTTTGCACTCAGCTTGGGGCCAGGGTCTTCAGTAGGAATTAAGAGCCTTCAACAATCCTGTTGTCAGACTTTAATTTTAGGGAGTAAAGTTTGCAGCGTGCAGGCACAGATGGCACATAACAAACCAAATAAACCAGCCAAATGCTGTCTGCAGAGAAGAACCCACTGTTTATAGCAGCTGACCTCAGATTCACTTTGCAGGCTGCTGCTTGGCCCAGTGTGAAAGAAAACAAAATTGCTGGTAATGAGAGCAACAGGACACTGCCTGAACAGGGTTCTAATTCTAGACTGATGCAGCCTCTCCTGAACATTGCAAAACTTGCCACAAAAATATTTGCTGTACACAAACACAGATGATATATTAAAATAGTTTAGAGATTATATATTGAAAAGATTTATTCCTAAATAAATAGAATGGAGCATAGGGGAAAAAAGGTTTGAATGATAAGTAATCATATTAGACCTCGTTGTGTATTTGTTCTGTTCATATCTGTTATAGTGCTTTCTGCATATTTGTGCACTGGAGATGCTGCTGGCAGTGCTTGGTTATTGCAGACACTTCTCTGCAACTCTGTTTTCAGACAGAATTCTGTCTGAAAAGCCAAAAAAAGGTTAAATGACAGAATCATCAGTAAGCCAGTGCAAACATCATTAGGGTGTTGAGGGTTTTTTTAATCAAAGGCAAACACTAATCCAATGGGCTAATCACACAAAGTGACATGAACCACAGGGTAGCTGTGCTAAGGGATTTATTCCAACATTTCTCTAATTGGATTTGTGGCAATTTGTAAATTTTAAGCTTTTTGTCATGAAAGCTGGTATCTCTTGCCAAAAAGCAGATACACATACAGCAATATGGTTCAGGACAGACAAAATTCTCAGATGTCCTATACATATCTAAGTCTGGTGCATTCCAGTTAGGACTTTGTACAACAGAATTAGTGACTTGACTGTAATCCCTTTTCATTTTAAGACTGGATATTAGCTCTGTTATTATACATTAATATGTTACCACCTTTTAATAAATTTAAAAGGAATTATTAAAATTCACTATTCTTTTTTTCACTAGAACTAAGCGAAAGCTTTTCTTCTGTCCACTGAGGTTAATAAGCATTCCTACCAAAGTCATTGCTGGGCATCAAGTCTGGGAGTTACGAATTACTCCCCTAAATATTAGTGACACAAAGGAAATAAAAACACATTAGGAATTACCATCTCCATCCTGGATGGATCGGGCATCTGTAAGTAAAGAGCAAACACATCAGTACCAGCTCCTGCACAGAAAGACTTTCTGTTAACCAAACATTTTCCATGTATAACTAGAAGATCACAAGTCTTTTAATGCCCACATCAGACCCTCTGTGTAGCCAGAAGATTTTTGTTTCTTGAACAACAGAATGAGGAATTCCCTGTTTGCAATCAGTGCTACAAACCACCTCAGTCTGGCTGTTAGTCAGAACTCACAGCCTGAACAGCTGGGATTAAAATGTCAGCAACACTAAATGGAAGATGCTGTATTTGTAACAAAGTATTTCTGAGGGCGTGAAAAAATAAACAAGAATAAATTTGGTAGTAATCTTACCTGTTAGCATGTTCATCAGCATACAGAAGATAAAGAAGCCAGTAAATGTCATCTTGTCTGCAAGAAACTGCTTGTGTTTCTGAAAAGTAATTTGTACAATTGAGGATTATTACAAGAGATTAATAATTATACAAACTCAATTATTTCTTGTTTTAATAGAAGAATACATTTCAAAATAGATTATAGTTACAAATTTGGGCATGAAAAAATCCAATCATATTTTTTATAGCTTCTGAAGTGCAACACAGAGCATTAAAAAACCATCAGTCCTGAAATGTGTATTGATATTTTGGTTTTAGATGGCATAAATCCAAAAGGTGCCTCTGAATCGACATGAAATCAACTGTCTTTGGAAATGTTTGATTTTGTGGTTAATTTAATTTCACTTTGGAAATTACCTCTCTGTTTCTTTTCTTTTCTTTTCTTTTCTTCTTCTTCTTTTTGCAGCTCTGAATCAGCCACAAAACTCCAAAAGGGTTTTTATTGCTATAAAATAGCAGTGCTTTGTAAGGAAGGGTGGGGGGAAACGTCACTGAGTTACTACACCAATCTGATTTTGTTTTCTTCAGGTATTTTAACTGCTCACATTTGCATTATATTTCAGCACTGCCCATGGGAGAGACAGTGGACAGTTTCTGAGTGGAAATCAGAATTAACTTTGGCAAGAACACTTGGTTTTGGAAGACAGAGGGAAAAAATACAGAAGGAAATTCAGTGAGTATTACAGTTTCTGCCCTCCTGATTTCTTCCTGCCCCTTCAGACAAATAGATTTTTTAAAATGTTAGCTGAGCAAATTGCTAAAAGGATATTGAGTTCCCTCTCCAGCTCAGTCATAAACCCCAGAAATACTTGACAGTGCTTTATATTCTTATTTAGTATCCTTAAAATCTAGACCTTAAAATGTACCAGGCAGTGAGTGACCACTGAAATCAATTGGGTTACAGAGAGTAAAGAAGGAGGTCCCTGAGGACCATGGCCATGCTGATGGTGCTGGTGCCTTCAGAGGGTCGATGGCGTGCACTGAAATTCATTTTCACATTATACCCATTTCCTGGAAGGATTCCTCTCCAAACCCAGCAGGTGCTTCAGGCTCCAGCCTGTGCAGGTTGCTGTATGGATCCAGCACTTTGAGAAGCCTGAAAGGGAGAGAAGGTTTGGAGAATATTCAGTTGTCACATACATCTGATTGATTTTCACCTAGCATACAAGCCCTGATGGCAGCAGGTGTGGTCAGGGACTAAGGTGCAGCAGAAAGTGTTCTGTGACTCACAGGCACATTGGGCATCTCCATGCTTCTCAGAGATGGGGTGGTTCAGGGCATCTGGCCAAACCTCCAGCTTGTGGGATTCACATTCTCTGAACCTGAGAGAAGCAGTGAGAAAAGCAGAAAAAAGAATGATCAAAACAGTCCTTATCTCATTTGCTGTGCCTGTGTTTGTGCCAAAGTAGAATGCAATATATTATATTGAAATATTATAATGCATAATATTAATATGCATAATATTGAAATATTATAGATATATATATGTGTATATATATATACACTATATATATATATATATATACACTATATATATATATATATATATACACTATATATATATATACACACTATATATATATATATACACACTATATATATATATTTTTTGTTTACCCAAAGTGATGGTGTTTTGTTTCCTTGGCCTCTCAGGGCCAAGCGTGTGTGCAGACTGTGGGTCAGCAGACAGTCACAAGATTCTGAGCAGTTAAGTGCTTAGCAGATTCAATTTAGATGTAATATAATATAAAATAATATAGTATAATAAAGTAATTAATTAGCCTTCTGATAAGACAGAGTCCTCATCCTCATTCCTCCCGGACATTGAACAAAATATCACTGATACCATCAATTTCCAGATATTGCTTCTCTTGAGAGGAGCTGCTGAGATGCCAGTGCAGAGCTCACTGTGCACCTTCATGCTGTGAGATCTGACTGTACACATGCTGATCTGAGCTGCACTCTCTTGCTGGGCATTTTCAGTTGTCTTTATGATCTACAAAAGCATTTCTCTGTATCACTTCTAGATACCTGCATTTCCCAACTCTGTGCATGACCCCTGACATTGGTGCCTTGGCTGTACCACATCACCCATCTGCCACAGGAGCACAGGGCAAATCTGTGCACTCACAAAGCCCTGGAGCACAGAGAGCCAGGTGAGTGGCCTTGCAGGAGGACCCAGCTTGGCTGGAGTTTGTTCCTGTCTACACACAGAGTCAGATAGTTTTGCCAAGAATTAATTCAAGATGTTCTGAGTAAGGGGAAAAAAAGGTGCTTTGTAGCACACTAGGCTGTGCCAAGTCTTGTGGAGGGCGAAAAGAAAAATATTATGAAAGCAGAAGCAATTCCATCTTTGAAAGGCTTTAATCCTGCTGCTTAGTATGTATTTCCTAGGCCTGTAGGAGGGCTCCCTACATAAGCCAGGTTCTTGCAGCAGCTCACCCCCTCACCTGGGCTGCAGGAGCTGTGATGGGAAAAGGCACTTCCTTGGAGTTCTGTGCATCCATGTACTTGTGTGCACCCAGCAGTGCTCCCTGCAGAGCCAGGCTTTCCCTTTCACTGCCTAGTCTGCATATCCTGCTCCAATAAAAACCAGAAGCACTGAGGTGTGCTGATACACACACAAAGCAGTCATCAGCTGTAACTGAATAATTGCCATAAAGCTGCTTTTGTGCACATCCATCAGTAGCTCTTTGTTTTGGCAGGTGACAAACCAGGTGTAGTTCCAAGTGGGAGGTGAGATAACGTGTTTTGGATGATGACAAAGGAGAATAATGATGCTTCTGATGCAGCTACATCCTGCTGCTCTCCTCTTGAGATATTAACAGCATTGTAGGAGGATGACAAAGTTCCAGAGATTATCAGATTCAGGGTCTATCTGATCACAAAATGATCTGCTACAACACTGGATGATCTTGGGAAGATTCCCATAGCTGTTGGGCTGACACACACCTTTACACCTCCCTCCTTTACACCTTCTTATTCTGTCTTTTGAAGCTTGGAGTTACTTCCAGAGCCAGTAGGATCACTGATCTGACATTGTGTGTCAGCCTTCTAACAATTTCACACTTGCAACTTAATTCAAATCAAAATTTTCCCCTTGCTAGTGCACATATGAATAAATTCTCAGGGTTTCCATGCTAAAGCAGACCTAGGAAATGATAAAAAGAGGATATGACTTAGCATTGAAAGCAACTTGCATCACAGGTTACAACCTCATCTATCAACACTTCTGTTGCTGTACATGACTGCTTGTCCCAACTGGGTCTGTTTTAAACACAATGTTGGAGTAGAGAAAAACTGATGAGTTTTCATCAGCTGATTGAAGGACTGTGTCTGCTGGGTTCAGTGTGTGCCAAACAGTGCAGTGTGCTCCTGGTCCCAGAACACACGGTGCTCTGACCTGCAGGTTTTCTAGCCTGCCAGCACATTCATTTAATCATATTTTCCCCCCTTTTCTTTCTCTAGGAGCACTTTCCTTTTTTCAAACTCAACCCAGAGGGCAATTAAAGTAACAGCACTGAGTGTCCAGCACAAGTGCTAGCATGGATGAGTTAGCAGAGCCCTCTGCTAATAGCTGCTGCCCTGCAGGCTTCTTCACTGCTGAGCAGTAATTGGAGATGCCATGGTGCCCACAAATGCAAATCTTGCTCAGCAGCAGCCACATTTCAGCAGACACCACGGCACTTAACAGGGTAGCTGCTTAATGAGTTCAGTGTCTTAATTTCTACTTATTTTGGAAAGAAATTTCCTGTTCTCCTTTTTCAGAAGAGCCCATTAGCTCAAAAAGCTGCTGTTCCTGCTGACAAGGAGTTCTTCAGGTTCTGTACTCTAAAGTTTGCATACAGTTTTTAGCTCAGGCCATTCACTCAGAAAAGCTTTGCTGCACGATAGAAAGGGCTGTTGTTTTTCCCTACCCCAATCAATATGTACTTTCTGTAGATGGCTCTCAAAGCCAGAAAATCCCACACAGAGCCGTGCCAGAGACAGAAATCAATGGGAGCACAGAGGAGATTCCCTTGGGGATAGAGGAATGCAGTTTGGGCAGCACAGGTGTTAGTGTGGCTCGGTGGGGAGCAGTGCTGGAGTGCCAGCCTGCCTTCAGAAGGGCTGCTGCTACCAGGGCTGTTTGACCAGAGCCAGCCCCTGTGGAGCAATCCAGCTCTCCTTGTCGATTCACTGGAAACAAAGATAAAGGAAAACATAAAAGCAAGTTTATGGATGCCTTTCTTTTCTCAATAGATATGTTAGACTTCTATCACACACACAAAAATCTATAATGCTCCAGGCACTAAAAAAAAACCCTGTTTAAAAAGGCAGAATCTTTCTTATTTAATCAATAGACAAAAGCAAGTGCATGCAGAGTTCTATAGGAACGTATCTAAAAACTAAATAGGACTAATAGATGCATCTGAAGTGCTCTGCCCTTGAGCTGAGCAGACAAAATGTTCTCCATAGGGCTACAACATTTCTGTACATCAGAAACAACTAATGACAGTGATATATTGACCACCCCTAAAAACAACAAACAACAAATGTTTGATTATTTCCTCCAGCAATTCGTCCAAATAATACAGGTCAAGAGGAGATTCCTGTGACTAGAATATGCTTTGCTCAGACAGGTGTAAGGAAGTATTTACAGGCCAAATAACAAAGTGATCAGTAAATGTAAAATGAGGTAAATGTAATTTTCTCCCACTTTCAAGGGATGGGGTTTCTGACCATTTCCACTCAAACCAGATTTGGAGCTACCAAAGAGACATTTGATATAATGTTCTTTAATGCTCAGTCATAGACAAAAAGACAAATAAGACGACAGGAAACAAAACCCATAAGGCATCACTTTGCCATTGTGTCAGTTAGTCCCATTTTGAATATTGCCTGCATTTTTGGTCTCACATAACAGAAGGTCATGACTGGACAAGACAAAGGATACAAAGAAGACTGTGAGGGGAATTTGCAGAGATGGACCAGCTAAAGCAGACTGAGACTCTTCAGGCCAGCAAAAGGATGACAAGACCTTGATTTCTACC